ATTCCAGGGCTTCCCAGAATGCTGTGGTCGCTGGGAGAGGCGTCGAGGCCGGCGACTCAGGCCTCCCCCCGGCACACGGAACACCCAGGGCACGCAGAGCGTTCCAGAGCGCTCTGGCGCTCGCGCTCCGCCAGCTGATGCGAAAGCCAGGGACCACTTGTCTGCTTGCCACAGCTGGGAGCTGCGGCTTTCAGGGGCTGTCTGCGGGTTGGGAAGGAAGCAGGCTGAAGGCTGCTGGCGTGGCCCCCTCTTCCTAGCCAGCCTGAAGCGCGCAGGCTTGCGGGCGCTGGCCCTGCCCTGGAATAGCCTCTGGGGCCGCAACGACGTGCCCCGCGGGACCTGGCAGCTGCGTGTCAGGCGGGGCCAAACAGTGTGACCCACACCCCAGAGGCAGGCCCGACCCGGACACCGCAGTGAACGTGGATATGCTTCATTCACACCCACCACCCATGGGGTCTCACAAGACCTGGGCCCTGTGTGCCGGCCCCCCCCTCCACCCGCCCCCCGCTTCAGGCGGCCCTGTGCCCCGGGACTCAGCCTCGCGGCTGGCTCCGCGAAGGAAGACTGGCGCTGTCCAGGGACGAGCCCCAGTGGCTCAGCGGGGACACCGTGCCCCGGGAGGACTCACCGAACATGTCTATGGTCTGGAAGATGTGGCATTCCTCCCGCCGGAGGCCCCAGGCGCTGTCACAGACCTGGAGGTACGCCACGGCCACGTGCCCGGCCGCAGGACACGGCCAACGGGGTCCCGCGATGGCTGCACATGGGACAGGGAACTGCCCCAGCCGGGCAGCTCGAGTTCGGGCCCGCTGGGGTGGGAAGGAAAACCACAGCAGGGTCACCAACGCGGCAGGTGGTCGACCCCCGGGCCCTGCCTGCCGGCCCAGGGAAGCCAGTGCCTGCGTGGCTATGGGCACGTGGGCCCCAGAGGCGTCCTCGTCCCCCGCCAGGCCAGCTCTCAGCTCTGCAGGGGTTGCTGGAGAGAGCCGCGGACTGAGCCGCAGACGGCCGGCCGGGCCGGGCGGGCCCGGGGCCAGGCAGACAATGGACTCGGACCCCAGAGCTCTGACCCCGCCCAAAGCACTCCAGGACCCTCGCAGGAGCTCTGCGGCACGCATCGACTGCCCAGGCCGCACCTGGCACCACCAATGCACCTGGCTTGTCGAGGTGGGACAGCCCTCTGGCCACCGTCAGAACCCCTCCCCCACCACAGTCTGCCTCCGCAGCCTCTGTGGAGTGGCCCGGATTCCCCGAGGACCCGTCCCCGTGCCGCCCACCGAAGGCTGAGTGATGTGGTTGGGTCGTGACTGCGGGCCAGACTCCGGTCAGCCTCCGCGTGGAAAGCGGGACAGCCACCGGACTGCAGGACGTCCTAGGGGGCCACTGGGTCCGCACGGATCCCGGGACGGCCTCCCCAGGGGTGGGGGCAGGCCACAGCCACCTCCGTGTCACTCGCACGCTTGGAGGCCATGCTGCCACCGGGCCCACAGACACACGGGGCCGAGGGGGGCAGTGGGTGTGCGGGCACCACGCGGCCCAGCCCTGGGCCTCCCGGGATAGCGGGGAAGTCTGCCGGGATCCCAGCCCCGGGGCGGGGCCTTCACGGGGTCGGGAGACCTACCTGGGCAGGGCAGGACCTAGGGAAGGCCGCTCCCGATCCAGAGCCGTCGGGCCGACTGCAAATGGAATGAGACAGGGGAGGCCCCACTGAGGACTAGGCTTACCCACGCACAGCCTAGATGTGTACATACCCCAGTGTGGTTGTCTTGGTGGCTCAGAAGCTGGCGTTTAGATAGGCCTAATCTAGATAGTGGCTTTGCTTGCCTGCCAGGGTAGTCTTCGGACCGCCCATCACCCACTACATTTCAGGGTCTCTATTGCGCTCTATACCCCACTTAGTGTTTTTTGCGCCCATCTTTGCCCCGTGCTGCCAACAAGCAACATTCAGCCCTGGCACGCACAATTCTAATGGCAGGTAGGTGGGATACTTGACTCTCCCTGCCTACCCTGCCAGTCGCTGGGTTGGTGATACCACAGGACTCTAGGTGTTTCGAATGGCAGGGCTTCCCTGAATGCTGTGGTCATTGGTAGACGTGTTAAGGCCTCGTATCTCCATAGAGATATCTCTGCAGTATCACTCAAAGGTACTAAACGTGTGAGTAGTGATATCTGTTGCTTTTTTTCAGCACATTTTTCATTAACTGGGTGTCAATTCATCTGACCTCTGCTATTTTGCTGGGAAGTGTCAGCTCCACACTGGGATGTCTTGGGTTTTCTTTTTCTCATGGTTTGTTATGGACAATCAATTCAACTCGATTTCTAACTGCCTCACCACAGTCTTGACCTCAGTGACCATTGGAGTTTTTACCCTCTGCTTTTTGGGTTCATTTCATTTGGGCCCTGTGCTCCTGTTTATCTTTTCCTACTCTCCTGTATTCTTCCAGAACTGGTAGCGGTTACAAAGTTTCAGCAGTTTGTGAAGAGATTGCTGCTGAAGGCTCTTAGTCTCATCCATCGTTTTTAGCCAGACTCATTGTGCTGACAAGCCTCTGGCTGGTCGGATACACTGCTGTGGGCATGAGGCGGTATTATCTAATGGGGTGTTTCTGGGAACCACATGACTCCAACTCTAGTTGCTGTACTATGCTTAGATCCCCAAATTCCACATGTGTTCATGCTGTGTAATCTGGTGTTTCCTACCATGAAGCCATGGGCCCTGCTCCAGCACACAGTGCTCTTGTTACTCAGCTAGGGCTGGTGGCTGCAAGGCAGACCTGTGGCTGTGTACTGGGGAGAACCCTGGGGCTCGAAGCATCACCTTGCCCCAGAGTACTCACTGCCAAGGCCAGCTTCCCTGAAGAAGCATTCTTCTTGCTGGAGGTTCCAGACACTGGCACAGATCTCATCGTAAGCCACCTCCACAATGTTGTCCATAGGACAGGGCCACCAGGGTCCCACTCTGGGTTTAGGCAGGCCATTGAGAAGCTCCAGCTGGGCCAGCCTGAGACTTGGCCTGCTGGAGTGTGGAGATAAGGCACATTTACAAACATGGGACGTGAGTAGCACCAACTCATGCCCGCCCTCCAAAGCAGTAACAGTGCATCTGTGGCTAGAGGAAAAATGGGCCCCAGCAGGTGTCCCACTCCCTGGTCACAAGGTGACTCTGAGAGGACTGGCGGTGACAAGCTGAAGACTGAGTCACAGGGATAGAGACACATGGGCAGGACATGTCCTCTGGCAAACAGCTGCCTGCCCTGCTAGGGAGCAAAGACCTCTGACACCCTGCATGGCTGCCTCCCCAGTGAAGGAAGCACCAGGAGCCTCACTGAAGCTGTGGGTCACCCCTGAGACCCTCAGGCATCAACTCCCCAGATATCTGATGATGACAGATACACCTGCTGAGGAGTCTTGTACCCCAGCACTCTGGCTCTCTCACCCCCACTCCTCAGACTGCTCCCTCTGCCTTCTGATGGCTGGCTCTGGGATCTCAATGGATCACTTTTTGTGCCACCCACAGATGGAATGCCCTTGCATGGACAGAAATTGAATGTAGTCCAGAGAGTGGCCCTCTCCTCTTGTGAGCCAGGGAAACTGTGGTGACTTCCAGAATTCCACATAAAGGCCACTTGGTCTGAGTCAACCCTAAGACTATCTCTTGGGCAGTGAGTGGAAGAGGCCATGCGAACCCCTTTGGGCAACTCCACGACAAGATGCAATATTGTCTTCTGAGACAGGAGGACATGGTCCTGTGGGAGTGCCATGGCTCCCTCAGCCTGTTTTGTCTCTCCCAGGATCTACTGTGACACTTCAGGGATCCCTGCAAAGTCAAAGTCCACAGGGCTGGCAGACCTACCTGGTATGGGGAGAGTCCACGTAAGGCTCCTCCTGGTTCCCAGATGTCTGGTTGACTGTAAATCAAGTCAGATAAGGAAGGACACCTTCAGGAAATGGTCCAACGCCACAGCTACCGCCACCAGGACTTCTACTTTTCCATGAGAGACATCTGGGACTTTGGCAACAGCCTCAGAGGCTACAGTGTGTCTCCAGGCCACCATCCCGGCCTGATCATATGCCCTTGGAGCCAGGTGATCCCATTCTCTCCATTGAAACAGGATGTTACCCACATCTCCCGTGGCCTCATTTTCTGGAAACCCTAAGATCATCTGGCCCCCAACAACATCAGCTCCAGCAATAGGCTACCTGGCTGTTGGGTTGAGAACAGCCAAATGCGAATTTGCTCTTCATTGTCTTGGAGACTGAATGGACAGTGAACTCTGTGTACTGCTACTGGGTGGAAGTGTGAGTTCTACAGAGCCTCTGGTCCACCAGGATCTCTGGGCCACCCAGAGAGTGTAGGGCATTAGTGGCTCCAGTCAGACCTAATGCCCAAGATGGAACACTGAGGGCATGGCATAGTGTTCTAGAGAACTCGGGAGCTCAGTCAACTTCATCAGGGAAGAGAAAGGCCACATGGTTTGCTAGGCTGAAATCCAGAGGTAGCTGCAAAATGCAGGGGGCTGTGGCTGTCAGGGAGTGTTACCAGGGTGTGAATATCCCACAGGAGATGGCCATAGTGTTACTTCTACTGTGAAACAGATTATTTGACACTCTACAGACAAGGAGATTGAAATCCACAAAAGATCTGTCACACGTGTGTGAAAACACGCTGAGGAGCAGCCGAGACTTTCCACTCTTGCACTGTGGCTTTTGTTCCCTCTCACAAGCTGCCTCCAGTCACATCCTCTCTCCTGTGTTTTGAAACTGGAGGGAATACAGTAACTCTTCCCTCCATACCCACCCTCCCACCCCACCTTCTCTGGCGGTGATAGAGCTTGAGATTGAGTCACAGGGATAGAGACACATGGGCAGGACATGTGCTCTGGCAAACGGTTGCCTGCCCTGCTAGGGAGCAAAGACCTCTGACACCGTGCATGGCTGCCTCCCTGGTGAAGGAAGCATCAGGAGCCTCACTGAAGCTCCCACCCCACCTTCTCCCTCTCCTATTCCCGTTCCCCAAAAGGTTTCTCTGGGAAAAAAAAAAAAATCCCAGATCTGGGTTTAGAAAAGTCTGTATATACTATCAATTCAACAGTAAATTTCTCTCTCTCCCGCCCATCCCCATAACTCTGCCTATAAAATAAAAAATCAATCTTTATAAAAAGGTAAGTGTATTTCAATGGAAATAAAATGGAAATCCAAGCATGAAAAAAAAGCTAGAGGATGCGGCCTCCTGCTCAAGGCCAATTGCATCAGGGAGGAGATCTCTGCAGCCCTGGGACCTTCAAAGCTCTGCATTTCCCACTCTTTGTTCCTACACAAGTACCCTGACCAAAAATGGCCGCAAATGTTTAGAGAACTTTACAGAATTGTTTACACAAACTACAGACTGTTGGTAAATGTTCTTTGAAGAAGTGTGGAGTCGGATGCCAACTTGAGACCATCTTAAGTCTCAGAGCCTTGGCCACCTTACCTGTGCTGAGTTTGGCAACAAGGTGCTCTGTCAGCTTGAGCAGCTCAGTGAGTAGTTGCCGGCTCTGGCAGCTGTCAGGGTCCTGCTGAGGAGGGCCTGGAGATTTTGATGAATGAGCTGAGAAAGAGCTCTCCCTTCCTGTAACTTCTGCTGTAATTGGGTCAGCTCTTGGGCCTGCTCTTGAATTTGAACACCACATTTCCTAAGGTGTGACAGGAGAGAAATGTCAAGGTGGAACGGCCCCATGGTGTGTTCTGTGTCTCTGCAGAGATTTGGTGAGATGTGCTCACAGGGCCCTCTAAGCAGCATCACTGCCTGTGTGGGAAAATGCCCACAGTAGGGAAGAGGAAAAGATGGAGCAAGAGATTCCTCTTTAGTAGAGAGACAGACCTTGCGAGATTACTAGACACTGGGCTGATTTTTTGGTTCTCTAAACAACACCAAGGTTCTTCCTCAGCTCCCTCACCAACATGTTCCTTAATTCCTCACTCCAGCCACAGACCTTTCCTTATAAAATGCAGTGTGCAGCGAGTGGACACAAAGGTAGACACAGAAACATGCCAGGCACAATGGCTTTCAGCAGAAATAACGACTGACAGGGAGAATAAGACAGCATCCACGGTCAGGAGGTGATGGAGACACAGTTAATGAGGAGGGATCCTACAGCACTGTGTGGATAAAACGTCTCTGTGTGGTTCGTTCTTCAATTTTGTATGTGAATTTCAAGTCAATAAGTGCCTCGTTTTTCAAGTCAAAAAGAGGTTCTAAATACCACTGCAGCCTACAATTTGGTGATTTCTCTGTTGTCTGCCTGCTTTATAAATCTGAGGGGTCAGCCCACCATGTAAATCCCTGCCCTTCTCCTGGCCACATCAGTTCTTGGTTCCCCAGCTGAGCTGCCCCACTTGAGAGATGCATTCACCTTTCCACCTGCCCACCCGAGAGAGCCCCCTTACTTGAGATCTCCGCAGGTAGCAGCTCCTCTGCCAGCTGCCCCTCCAGGAAGTGCGGCTCCCTCAGCATTGATTCAATTAGATCTTCATACTCTTCACAATCTGAGGAAAGACACGCACACATACCTGCCTCAGTGGAAAGGTGAGCGGGCTGCTAAGGTCACTGTCTGTCAGGAAGTGGAGCTACACCATCAAGCTCTTGGTGTGAATTTCCTCCTCTTTGTTTCTTTAGCTCCCAGGGACAGGACACTTATAATCTCCATTTTATTTATATTTGTTCAGGGATTTAAAAAAAGCTTTATATATTTTTTTGGAAAGCCAGAGTTACACAGAGAGAAGGAAAGCAATAGACAGAGAGAGAGGTCTTTCAATCTTTGGCCGATCCAAAGCCAGGAGCCAGGAGCCTCTTCCGGGTCTCCCACATGGGTGCAGGGGCCCAAGGCCTTGGCCGTCTTCTACTGCTTTCCCAGGCCACAGCAGAGAGCTGGATTGGAAGTGGAGCAGCCAGGTCTTGAATCGGCACCCATAGGGGATGCCGGCACTGCAGGCGGTGGCTTTACCCACTATACTACAGTGCCGGCCCCTCAGGGAATTTTTTCTAATCCCTTCTTTTTTTTAAAATTAATATTTTATTTCTTATTTTTTCAGTTAACTTTTTTTTAAAGATTTACTCATTTATTTGAAAGGCAGAGTTATAGAGATTCAGAGGCAGGGAGAGAGAGCTAAGTCTTCCATCTACTGGCTCACTCCACAAATGGCCACAATGGCTGGAGCTGTGCCAACCTGAGGCCAGGAGCTAGGTTCTTCCCCAGGTCTCCCACACAGGCGCAGGGGTCCAAGCTCTTGGGCCATCTTAGACTACTTTCCCAGGCCATAGCAGAGAGCTGGATCAGAAGTGGAGCAGCCAGATTCAAACCAACACCTGCAGGTGGTGGCTTTACCTGCTATGCCACAGCGCTGGCCCCATATAATGTTTTTTCATTTATACTACTACCAAAGGCTTAATGGCTCTACTTAATAAACAGTTCAAGAAATAAAGATAAGTGGACCATAATCCAGCCAGAGAATAGAAGAGTTATATACAATAATCAAATCAAAAGATGCTCATCTTCACTTATGTTAAGTAACTCTAAAGTAGTCACAGAAACACCAAAGCTATAGTAGTATATAATTCCCACCAATTTATTGGATAAAGATTTAAAATAACATTTGAGAAAATACTACATTGGCAGCAAATGAGCGAAGAAGAGTTCAAATGCACCTGAAGGGACTTGGCAAAGTGACTCAGCTGGAGCGGGACAGTGTCAGAATTCCCACCCTACAGCTCAGTGAAAATGTGGAAAATTGGCTGAACTTGTGCCTCAGTTATTCCTGCACAACCAACTGATGCTGCAACTACTAACGCTAATCCTTCTCAGAGCATGGTAGCTATGTAACTTATTTGGTAGAGAGAAGAGAAGGATCAAGGTTAGCAAACAGGTCATTTCTCCAAGAGGTGACATCAAATACTCATCATTTCGGTGACACTGAACCTATAGAACTTATTGTGGAATGGGAACATGAATAATGCTGTGCCTCCCATTCAATCTATATTAACAAATTTCTCTATTTTATTTATTTCTTTTTTAGAAATAAAACATTAAACACAGGGAAAAGAACGAACTTACTGTGGTCCCGCAGGTGCTTTGCCAGGAGGTAGGCCTTAGCCTCAGCTCTAAGAAGCTTCTCCTTCAGTTCTTTTGATTCTCGTTGGCTCTTTGCCAGTTGAGAGCTTAATTGCTCACTGGTTTCTACCCTCACGTCAAGTGAGGGACCGAGAGTCAGTGCCATATCGATGCTTGTAGCAAAATGAGTATATCCAGGGACTAGGAAGAAGACACCCAAGAAAAAGAGGAGTTAAAGAAAATGAAACCTCTTTCAGTAGGACTGATAGATGAGGATAACTGTACCTCCCAACTTACTGTTAGGAAAACCCCACAACACTTTAACGCCTTTATTCTCGATTCAGTCAGGTGCCAGAGCTCAGAGCATAAGCTCCTGCTTATTGCTCAACATCTGACAGAGTGAGAGAAGTAGGGCTTCACTTCCAGGTAACTTGGCAGTTACTGTCACAGAATCAAAACACGGGGGTATCATGGAATCTTGGGAGCCACTGCCTTCCAGTTGCCTAGGCCACCTGGCTGATGCACAAGCCTGATTGGTCCTTTTAAAGTCTTAAGGGGACCACCTCTGAAAGTCTTAAGGGGACCACCTCTTAACGTCTTAAGGGACCACCCACTCAACACAGCCTCCACAGTTGTGTACCCCTGGCTGAAACCATAGTCCTACCTTTTCCCAAAAGCGTCTAAGCATATTTCTCATTCCTCTGTTCTAAAAGATTAAGGCAGGACTCATATCCTAACAATTTTTACTTTAAGGGTTGTCATAAAGTCACTCCAACTTTTCTTTATGTCAAAAGAGACCACAAGGCTTTTCCACCACTGAGAGATGTTGAATTATAAACTGCCATGATGTTCTTCTCAGACTCTTCAGCTTCTTAGACCCAATAATCTGTTAGGAAAAAGCACAGCAAACACTAAGCCAAGGGTTCACTTTTAAATGTTTTGTATCCCATCTCAGTAGACTTTCTGTTGCACTCAAGGGTTGTGCTGGCTTTGCCCTGACAGGGGCAGCACATGGGCATTTCATTCAACTGAAAGCCAGTTAGATGCCCTTACATCCTCAGTGTCTTCCTCTAAGTGGGCCTGCCCTGTTTCACCATCACTTGACGGACACTTTACACTTGACACTTACGGGTTTCATTCGAGCCCCACAAGAGCCTTTTCAAGATATCAACTGACACAAATAGTTGATGTGAACCCCCCCCAATACACAGTGAACATCCATGTGGGAAAACTTGCAAATCTGATGGTATTCTTTTCATATTTGCATTCAGTTTATCTACATATTGAACAGGATCCATCTGCAGTTTTTATGTAACATTGCCTGATAAATTTTCTTATTGGCTAAGTCCTATTGAATGGTAGCTGAATTCCACTAATGAGGCTGGTCCTGAACCCCTCAGCATCTTCCCACTCTAATGTGTAAGATATCAGTTTCTGAGATGAATCAAAGGTATGAAGAAATTCATTTTCAGCTGTCTTGATCTTCATATTCTATGGCAGAAATAATTATTCATCAAATTCTTAATCTTAAAAATCATAAACTAAAGCATCACAAGATTACATGTCCTACTTTACATTGTACAGGGGTGGATTTAGGGTAGTGTTAAAAAACAAAGTAACAGTGAACTTCTTGGTGAATTTATACCCAGCATTTGGCAAAGCACTGTACAAATGACAACATTTCACTTTCATCACAATCCTTGAGATGATCATGAAAGTACAATGTCCCAAAGAAGAGGGACAGGAAATGACTCCTCTGGCCATATTTAAATGAACATGTTCTCTGGTTCTGGCAGAGTGGCCAGTGAATAAAGGGAGCAGCACTTATTACAGCATCATTTTCCAGGGCATATATGTGCCTCATGGGCTACTAGGACCAAAATATGGAGGCATCTGCAAGCTTTCTTTCCTATATGCAACACAACTCCTATCATCGAGGATTTCAGATTCTTTGAGATGTCCAAGAGAAGTATGAGATTAGGGTCTTTGACTGATGTAATTTGATCTGCTATTTAATATCCGTGATTCTCTCTAAGGCTCTTGCCTGGTGTGTGACATTCCTTTCTGCTAAGAACACCACTGTAATCTTGGGGTCTTGGCTACTATATAGGCCAACATATCTGAGACACTCATGTCACCACTTCTGTGTGGGGTCTGGGGCATGCTAAAATTGTACACATCCAGTCTGGAATTTCCCTGAGGTTCAAGTGACACACATTCATCCACAGGGCATGACATTGGCAGATGAAAACAGTCTATGGCTTCATCTTTGTATTAACTGAAGTCCCGCAGTCTAGAGACCAGGTTTTCTCAAGGTAGGAGATCAGCATTGAACTACAGAAGGGAACGTCTGAGCAAGATTTCATGCCCTCCACACTCAAAAATCAAATAGAATAAGACACAGCACCACACTATGTCTGCTGGTCACATGTAAGAATTGGAAACAGACACCTTAGAGCACAGATCCTAAGTGAAATGTTCACCTTCTACATGCAATGCACCTCTACTTACCATATACGTACGTGTAAAGCTTCACGGCCACAATGTTGTATCTGAAATTATGAAAGTCAAATGTATTTTCAAAGACAGATCTTCTTGGTCTTTAGCAAGGCAATAGGATGTAAATACCACATAAGCCATGCAGTACTTGTACTTCACTGCATCAGAGCCAGAACATTTAGCCAAACACATAATGTCGGCAAGGAAATATGTGAACATTCTCACAATGCAGGTAAATAAAGACAATGCATAGTCTCTCGCCTCTTCTATAAGGTTTTGTCACTGAATGAGAATATGAAATATCTTTCAACATCTTATTAGAGCTTAGAACTAAAAATGAGATTATGGAGGTTTAGGGGTCATAGTTTGAAATGAATACAGGGAGGATGATATGGAAGGGAATATGGTTTGGGATGAAGGTGTTTCAGAGAACAACCCCAGTGTACCAAGATACTATACCCTTTTTCTTTCCTAAAACTCAATTCTCATTGTCATTTATTCTTTTTAGAAACATTGTTGATTCTGTTCGTTCCCTTATTCTACCAATAGCATATTATCGTCCACTTTTCTCTCCTAAGGTCCAGAATAACACTAGACTCATTCAATAGGCTCTGGATTCTAATGTCTTCCAACCTCGTGGATCAGCTAAGTTTCAGGTTAACTTGCCAGAGATGGTAAATCATTTCTAAGGAAGTACGAAGACTGAACAAAACTCTGCTGCTCAGAATCCCATCTTTGATGACTCCAAGGCGCTCATTTGGGTTAGTGATACATCTCCTAACTATGTTCCCCTTCTGCTTCACTACAACCCATTCTCTCTCCCTTGGGCATATTTGGCTTAGAGGAACTGCCTTTTGAGTTTTTATTATCTGTATGTTCTTCCTCTATACATGAATGAGGTTACTTTAAAGTTTCCTTCTATCTATTTAAATTCCTTTGTAAACTTAATTTGAAAAATCAAGAGAAAGCAATAACATAATGAAAACAAAATGTGTGCTTTTTATTTAATCTCCAAAACAACTAAAAAAAAGTTTGAAATAAATGTGGAGGTGTTTCCAGTACCATGACAACTGTGTTGGATTTCTAATTCCAATGACGTAGATTCTTCCATCCATTTTGTGATGTTTGTAACTGTATTAGTAACAACTGATGTTACTAACCTGGTTAACAGGTACTACCAAACTTTTAAGGATGAACTAACAGCAATTTATCTGAAATGATTCAAAGCAATGTAGAGCAAGGGAATCCTTCCTAACAAGTTCTCCATGAGGTCAGAATTCCCTTTATTTCAAAACTGGACAATGACAAAGCATCACCACAAAAATGAAAACTATAGGCCAACATCTCTCATGAACACAGATGCAAAAATTCTCAATAAACTGCTAGAAAACTGACTACAGCACCGTATTTAAAAAGATCACTGTGCCAAACAAGTGAGATTCATCCCAGGGATGTGAGGATGGTTCAAACAGAAATCATACATATCAAATTACCTCAATGGAACAAAAGATTAAAGTTATATGATCATCTCAGTAGATAATGAAAAAGCATTTGCCACATTCAATATCCATTCAAAATAAAAGCCCTGAATTAATTTGATTTTGAAGGAACATACTTCAACATAATAAAGGTAGTAAGTGGCAAACCCACAGTCAATGTCATAGCGAATGGAAATGTTGGAAAAATCTCAGCTAAGATTTGGAACCAGATGAGGTTGTCTACCGTCACCACTCTTATCCAACATAGTACAAGAAGTTTCTGTCAGAGCAATTGTGCAAGAGAAACAAAGGCATACAAATAGGAAAGGAGAAGTTAAAACATCTCCATTTGTAGATGACATGAGTCTCTATGTAGAAAAGCCTAACATCTACATCAAAGACTGTTAGAATAGGCAAACTACTTCAGTGAAGCTGCAGGATAAGAAAGCAACAACCAACAAGTAGAAGTTTGATATGAAAATAATAAGAGCAATGACTTCAAAAAGAACAAATTACCTTGGGATAAATTGAAATAAGAATGTAAAAGATCTCTACAAGGAAAATTAGAAAATCTGAATCAAAGAAATTACAGAAGAAACAAATAATGGAGAACCACTACTGTTCATAGTTGGGAGAATTGGTATTTTTAACTTATTTATACTACTCAAACCAATTTGCAGACTCAATTGAATATCCATCAAGATGTCAATGACATTCTTCACAGAACTAGAAAAATAATTCTAAAGTTCTGATTTTCAAACAAATGAATAAATCTAAAAAAAGAAAAAGAAAGAAAGAAAAGTGTGGGGCTACCACACAGCCATCTCTTGTTCTCATCACAGAATATCTCATGAAGGAGGCAATAGAACTCAACTTCTGGGGTCTTTCCAGACTAAACAAATAATCATTTGTAACTGACAGGCACCACACCTGGTTCCTGAGGTTTCTAATGACCTCGCTGGCACTCTAAATCTGATGTTAAGATGTCCCTTTGCAGAGCAGAGATGATTTCTGATTTTCTACTTGACTGGAGCTCTTCTTGCTCCCTTAGCTGGCTTTCCAAGGGCTTTTTCCCAGGGCAGTGGCCTGTGCTGAGCCCAGATGCACAGAGCATGGCCTTTCCATGAGACCAATGTCCTGAGGGTATCATGCTCCTCACCCTCTGAAAACAAATATACCTTCTTCAGAAAAAGTTGAATACGGTGCCAGCACTGTGACATAGTGGGTAATGCCTCTGCATGCAGTGCTGGCATCCCATATGGGCACTAGTTCGAGTCCTGTCTGCTCCACTTCTTCTCCAGCTCTCTATTATGGCCTGGGAAAGCAGTTGAAGATGACCCAAGGGCTCAGGTCCCTGCACCCACGTGGGAGACCCAGAAGAAGCTCCCAACGCCCAGATTTGCATCAGCACAGCTCTGGCCGTGGTGGCCATCTGAGGAGTGAACCAGCAGATGGAAGATCTCTTTCTCTCCCTCTCCTCTCTCTGCATAACTGTGACTTTCAAGTAAATATAAATCTTGTAAAAAAGAAAATGTTGAATATTCTGCAGTGACTTCTATACTTGGGAGAAGGCAGGTTTGTCACAAGGACAATAATGACTAGAGGCAAAGTTGAAGCTGTACTGTTTTCAGCCCTGGCACTGTATCAGGCCTTAAGATGCAGTGCTTCTTAGCTTTTCAACAGCCCTGCAAGTTAGGTGCAGTTGCCTGCTTTTACTGATGGTGAGACCTACACTCAGGGAGAGGTAAGCTGGCTTATTCTAGGTCACTCAGACTAGCAAAGACAGATCCAGAATTCAAATCCTACAATGTCCTGTGTCTTTTCCACACAGGTCCATGTATCTCAAGTATGACAGTGACATGGGCCTTCTATACCAAGGATGGGCACAGGAGCTGTGGGACAAGAAATTCTTTCATTCTGAAAGCATGATGCTCTTAACATATTACTATGATTTAACAGTGTTTTGGGGGAGGGCAGATGCCATTTTCCAGCAGGTTAAACAACAACTTGGGAAGGCCACATCCCATATCAGAGTCCTTGTTCCAGTCATGGCCACTCTGCTTTTGATCCAGATCCCTGTCAAAATATTGGGGAGCAGTGGATGATACTTCAAGTACTTGGGCCCCTTCCACCCACATCTGGACCAGACCAAAGCCAGGAACCAAGAACTCCATCTCTCTCTCTCTCTCTCTCTCTTCCCCTCCATCTCTACATCTCCAATACTCTGTCAAATAAAAACATAAATCTTTAAATAGTGTTGAATCTACATATTTGGAAAAGCAGAAATAGTAGAACAGGACTTCAAAGAACTGCATCAGTGTCCATACACCAAGGTGAACACTCCCCCTCCACCGTGGACTCAAGTCATATGTCTGTCACAGCACTTCCCGTGCCTTTTGGCAGTTTCTTGTTTTCCAGGTGGAGCTCCTGGAGAGCTGGGGTAACATTTCATTCAACTCTGCATCAACAGCACATAACAGCACCAGTAACAGCTAGGTAGGAGCACTCAGTAACCATGTGCTCAGAGGCTGAAAAGAGAAGACATCATCTCATGGGCATTCTGTCCCAGTGGCCTCTCAAATCCTCTGCCTTCTCCATTTTGAAAAATCCTCAGCAAAGTTCATTTCTGTAGGGGAATCCTGACAACTCCTTCAGAGTGTCTGAGGAGAAAATCCATGTGTTGAGCAGTGATAAATGTGGCAGGGATAAGGAAGCAATGTCACCACACACTGCTCGTCTGGGCTGCATCCAAAACCAGTGCATCCCAACACTCAGCAGTTGTCACACCCCACTGGAACTGTCTGGTTTGGGGCCATCTTTCCTCACTCCCTTGGACACTTCCAGGGCATAGATCAGGCTTTATTGCCTGTTGCCAATGCCTAGGGCATTACTTGCAAAACTCAGGAGAAAATGTTGTGAAAACCTTTCTAAAGGCTGAAGATGTGCTGAAGATTAGTATCACCACTGCTTTGGTGCAAGGGAACCTTTCTTTTGTATCTCCTGACCTAAAAGGGAACTGTGTAGGTAATGACTGGCATCCCCAGCCCACCTCCAAGTGTTTCCATCCATCCATGCCCACATTTACCTGATGGGCATCGCTGGAAGGGCAGTTCCAGGGTCAAGGCTCTGGGGTCTGGAGTAAGGCCTCCTGTGCATCCCCTCTTCTTGGCATAGGTCTTCCTTGGGAGAACAAAGCAGGGCTGCATTCCTTCTGTCGATCTCCTTGTTCAGATACTCAAGGAGTTCTGGATAAGGGCACTATCTCATTCCTTGCTGCTCAGTACCAGTTGCTATTTAGGGAGGGTGATGATGCTGTGCACATTCTTTGCTTTTCTCTGGACCTTCCCGAACTCAGCCTGAAGGTACACTCATTCAGACCCACTTTTGTGACCCCAGGATCTACTGTCACCTCATTCTTCTCTTTGTCTTCTTGGATCTCCCACCCACCAGGCATTGCATCTCCTATTATGCTCTTTTTGTTCTGCATTCTCAGGCCAAAGGTTCAGCGAGATGCTCCTGAAGGAAACCTAATCAGGGTTGGGTATGCTCTTGACCACAGTTGTTACTGATCTCTATTACAGACATCTTATTCCATAATTGACTCAGAGACACCCCAGAGCATGAAGTGACCTCATAGACCTACAACAGCTTCCTTATTTTTCAGGAAGACAATCAAGGCTCAGGAAGGATTAGACTTGCCTATATCTCCACAGCTACTTGGATACAGCACCACAATTAAAAACCTTGGTCTCAAAACATCCTGAGTCTCAGAGCCTCTTTTGTTCAAGGTGGCCTTTGAAAGAAAAGCAAAATTTCCTTACACCATATGGAAAAGAAATGAGGACCATGACAATAGGAAACGTGTTATTGTGGGTTCTACAGCTATGTGAATTACCACCAGCCAGTTTTAAGTCAGTAGATGATAAACTGGGACCTGGGAACACAGGACAAAACAATCACACTCATCAGAATTTAAATTGTAAGCATAATGCACTTAACTTATTATTTGTTCAGGTTTCGCTCATGTAATAGGAGGCAGCCTTCATGAGAGCAAGAACTGTTGTCTGTCGGGGTCACAGAGTATGCCCAGTGACTTCACAGGTGCCTGCATAGAAACATTCACAGGTGTTGAAATAAGATGGACTAAAACAATTTTCTGAACTGACAACTCACTCGGAACTCACAACTCCAGAGAGTAAATGGGCAAAAGTGGGGAGAGGGGGCAGGAAGCAGAAGGAAGAAATAGAAGCAGTAAAACAATGTGCAGATCCGAGGGAAAGTGGAATAAGGATATGGGCTAGAGAGGCGGCTGAGAAGCTCAGGGAGGGCAGAGATCTGACTGAGAAGTGGCTTATTTAAAAACTACTTTGTCATTCAGGTCCCCATCAGTGCCAGACGCACCAGATCTCAGAAGGGAATGGCAGAACCTGGCACCAATGTCACTGCTGCTGGCTCTTCCACGTGCGGCCTCTTCCTCAACATTGTCAGTGAACTTGCTGCTCTCATCTTCAGTGTCATCCCCGTGGCTGCGCCTGGAAGGCAGTTCAGAAGACAAAGGGGATTCCCTTCACAGATGGCTTCCAGACAGAAGGGCAAATTACACTCCCATCTGCCTCCTCACAGGCTTGGCCCCCGCGAGCCAGGCTGGCAAGAAGGCAGAACTCAACCTTCTCCTTTGGCATGGATTCTGTGTACACAGAAGCCTACGCTTCAAAATATAAGATGGCTTTGACTGCACACTCTGTAATTAATTGCCAGCCTCCAGATAAAGTGGCTACCTTCTTCCTCATTTCAAGTCAGCCTGACTTCTTCCCATTCCTGCCACTGTCCTGTTCCTTCTTTAACATGTGAAAGGGACTACCATTTTCCCCAGCACTGAGTTATGAGAAGGCCCTTCCTTTCTTGGGGCTTAGGAGATCCCTGTTCCTCTCGTACTTTCCCACTGTAGGAATCAGTTGTGCATAGGGTAACAATCTGTATAAGGAACTTCCCTCTTGTAGTCCTGTGTGATCCAGAGCTCCAGGAACAGTCAAGACAAAGGAACAGAACGGTTCACACGTTTCTTTATCCTTTTCCCAACATCCCCGCCTTCCCATATTTCTCAAACCCTTGACCAATATAACCATCCTTTGCCTTAGGGTTTCTTGCACTGCTTTGTCCTCAAGGGATTTTTCATCCATTCTTTCATTCCCCAAAGATGGGCCCAGTCCCCCTAGGCCCAAAACACCTGTAGTCTTTTCCAAGGATAGGGAGCCTTTGGTCCTGGCAAAGCTCCAGGGCAGTGCTGAGTGGAAGAAGGAAGCTTGTAAAACAGATACCAGGCATCGGTGGCTCCTGAACACCTGAAATGTGGCCCATGGTGACTGAGATCTGCATTTCTTGTTTTATTTTATTGAAGTTATTTCATATTGTAAATACTCACATGTGGCTGGTGGCTACCATATTGGACAGCACAAATCTGCGCTCTTTCTTCCTTTTTACATCAGTTAAAATTTGTCCAATTTGAGATCAGAACTGTTGTTCAGGCCGGTGCCAATGGCTCACTTAGCAATGCTCCGCCTGCGGTGCCAGCACACTAGGTTTCTAGTCCCAGTTGGGACGCTGGATTCTGTCCTGGGTTTGCTTCCTCCTCCAGTCCAGCTCTTTGCTGTGGCCGGAGGCAGTGGAGGATGCCCAAGTCCTTGGGCCCTGCACCTGCATGGGAGACCAGGAGGAAGCACCTGAATCCTGGCTTCACTTTGGCGCAGTGTGCCGGCTGCAGCAGCCATTTGGAGGGTGAACCAATGGAAGGAAGACCTCTCTTACTCTCTCTCTCTGGTCTAACTCTGTCAAAAATAAAGAAACTGTTGTTCACATTACTGGATTCATTTCTGAAGCAGAGGTATTAATTATGTTAATTCATGAGACACCAAAGAAATATCTTAGACTGCCTCTGTGTCTTCCAGATCTGTGCAACTTACAGAATCTCCAGATCTGATTGTGATCCTGGCCTCAACAGCTACCTCATTAAACTCCTCCTCCTTAGCACTGCATAAGTAGGTCTCAAAGAGATTAGGTGACTTGTTCAAGGTGACCCAGGAATCCCTTGACAAGGGTGATGCCAAGAAGTCAAGTCTCTGGGCTCTATGACAGACGTGGCTGTTTTTCTTCTGGTGACAGATGCAATCTTTACTTTGCTTCTTCTAAGGTGCCAAGGCACCTGCCCTTGAGCAGCACATCTGTGAATTGAAGGGCTCTCATGACAATGTACAGCAACCCTTGGCACATGAGGTGACCTGGAGCAGTTTCATGTCTCCACTCCAGGTTGTTGGTACCTGCAGGTTTACACGAGGTATTTTCAATGACCCGGCTGATTCCATCAAGAACAGAGGAAGTCAGCATGCTGTTCCAACAACTTGTGTTAAAACTCACCCTGGAGTCGTGTTGTGTTGTATCATGTAAGCTGCCATATGGGTGCCACTGCCAGTTCCTGTCCTGGTTTCCTCTAACTCTCTTATTTTTTGTAATATTTATTTGTTTGAAAGCGTCACAGAGAAAGGAGAACAGACAGAAAGAGGGATCGAGAGGGAGAGAGGCAGAGAGGGAGAGAGGCAGAGAGAAAATCTTCCATCCTCTGGTTTACTCCCCAACTGGCACAATGGCCACTTCTTGGCCAGGCCCATAACCAGGAACCGGAGCTTCATCTACAATTCTCACATGGGTGAAAGGACCCAAGCACTTGGGCCATGTTCCACTGCTTTCCTGGGTACATTAGCGGGGAGCTGGATTGGAGTGGAACAGCTTGGACTTGAACCAGCACCCATATGGGATATCAGCATCACAGGTGGCTGGCTGCTTTACTCTCTATGCCTCAATGCTGGCTTTTGCACAAACTTCTGATCCAGTTCCCTGTTAATGACCTGGGAAAAACCAACAGAGGATGATCCAAGCACTTGGGCCCCTGATACTCATGGGGCAGTCCTGGATGAAACTGCTGGCTCTTGACTTCAGCTTGGCCCAGTCCTGGCCTTTATGGTCATCTGGGGAGTAGGCCAGCAGATGGAAGATCTGTCTCTCCATCCTCTTGCTCTGTAACCCTGACTTTCAAATCAATAAATAAACATTAAAAAAATCCTCACCCTGGGTGAGAAGTGGGGGTGACAGAGAAAATAACCCAACCCACCAACTTCTAAGAATTATTTTAGAAACCGGCACTTTGGAGGAAAGCCTAACTGTGTATATGCATATGAGAGCGTGCTTTAAATGTGAAAAATGAGGCTGGTACCGCAGCTCACTAGGCTATCCTCCACCTTGCGGCGCCGGCACACCCTGGGTTCTAGTCCCAGTCGGGGCGCTGGATCTGTCCTGGTCTGCCCCTCTTCCAGGCCGCTCTCTGCTGTGGCCGGGAGTGCAGTGGAGGATGGCCCAAGTGCTTGGCCCTGCACCCCACGGGAGACCAGATGAGTACCTGGCTCCTGCCATCAGATCAGCGTGGTGCGCCGGCCACAATGCGCGGCCGCAGTGACCATTGGCTGGTGAACAACGGCGAAGGAAGACCTTTCTCTGTCTGTCTTTCTCACTGTCCACTCTGCCTGTCAAAACAAAATGAAAATAAAGATGTTTGGAGGGAAAATTCAAATCTATGAAGAGATTTTTTCATAACATACATTTTCCTATTAATGACTCCTATTTAGGTGCATAAAAATTTTTGTTCCAAAATAAACTCTTAATTTATTTGAGAATTGGAGAGACAGATAGCTCCTGTCCACTGTTTTACAGCTCAAATGCTCACAACATTTCCACAGCATTGAGCTGGGAATTCAGTCCAGGCCTCACCCCTTGAATGGTAGGAACCCAAATTACTTGAACCATCACCAATGTTTTCCCTCTGTATTAACAGAGAGTCAGATTCAGGAGTTAGAGATGCATATAAAAACCAAGTACTCCAATATGGGGTGCAGGCTTCTCTACTGGCCTCCTAACATATAGGCCAAATGCCCTCCTGTATACTGCTTATATCTGAATCTATTTTCCATTAACTTTGGTGAAATACCCATGTTTAGTCCCATATTCTTTTTTAAACTTTTATTTAATGAATATAACTTTCCAAAGTACAACTTTGGATTATAGTGGCTTTCCCCATATTCTTATAATGTGTCCTTTCTTTGAACTGTCCCCAAATACATGCAAAGATGTTATATGATCAGGGCAACAACTGAATTACCTGCAACTCTGAGATTGCTCTTTACTAAAACAACACATTGGGACACCTCAATGGAACGGCACCAGTTTCCTCACAGAAGCCTGTCTCTTAATGGGCTCTGAGGGAAGAATAGAACAAACTGAAGGATACCTACGATAGGGCTGGCACTGTGCCACAGCAGATAAGGCCACCACCTGAACCTCCAGCATCCCACATGGGCACCAGTTCGAGTCCTGTCTGTTCCATTTCTGATCCGGCTCTCTGCTGTGGTCTGGAAAAGCAGTGCAAG